AATTGATTACAAATGTTTTACCATTAAATTAAAATAATTAACATAATACTTTTAAATAATTAAATTAAAAATTAAATTAATTAAATTAATTTGTAAAGCTGATTTATGCTTTAGTGATATACAAATAAACTTGACTTTTGACTTGACAATTCACTGCTTAGAACACATTGTGTTTGGTGTACTGTGCCTGGGACAACAAGATCAGTTCCTCTGTCGGCATATTTTCACTATAAGCTAAAACTGCATATGTAGAAGATAGTCCTGCTCTTTCTCTGCTGTTCCCTTCTCATACCTTTCATTCCTTTATTCCATTTCTCTCACTGTCATTGTTTTTCCTCCTTTCATTCTCTCTGTAAAGGCATCCAGGAGAAAGAGAGTGTTGTTCTTCTGGTTAGAGAGAATATATGATTTTATTTTGTACTTTCTCTTCTTCATGCAGAAAATAAAAAATGGCTTTTGACTCAAAAAATACAAAGGAAAATAGGAAAAATAGAACTAAAGCTAGAAAAAAACAACCCTTCTGCTAGAATATCTAGCGAAGAAGCTGTAAATGATTCCCTACAGCAAGCAGATGTGTGTCCTTTTCAAGATGGTGTAAAACATCCAGTGTCTTCAGAAAGTATTTAGACCCCTAAAAATGGGCCTTTTATATGCATTCAGACTTTTCATGCAGTACTTTGTAGCGGTGACTTTGGCAGCGATTGCAGTATTGAGTTGTCTGTTTCTTCTAGCTGACAGTCCGCAGGGATTTAAGCTGTTTCTCTGTCTGATTGAATGTGGACTGTCTGTCTTTATTGATGGTGTCCAGCTTAAAGTCATGGAAGGACCATTCAAGTACAGTCAGGAATCTTTCCTGAAGCATTGCAGTGGCTGTTTGCACCTGTACATCACTGATTCTTCAACATGGTCTGCGGGGTTTCTTGTAGGTAGTGGCATTGACAATAATGGAGGTAATTTTCTTGCAGCCCCAGAATGATTAGCCTTATTAGTCTTATTTATAGCTTATATGAATACATAGGTAGGTTTTGTACATTACCATTTAAAAGTTTGAGATCAAGCAACTGTTTCAACATTGATAATAATAAGAAATTACCAAATCAGCATATTAGAATGATTTCTGAAGGATCATGTGACACTGAAGACTGGAGTAATGATGCTGAAAATTCAACTTGGCATCACATTACATTTAAATATACATTAAAACAAAAAAAATAGTTATTTGAAAGTGTAATAATATTTCACAATATTAATGCTTTTGCTGTATTTTTATTCAAATAGAAGTTGCCTTGCTCAGCATAAGAATTTTAAATTCTGATAAAAATCTTACTGACCCCAAACTGGTCTTGTGCCAGCCTTGTAACTTACATTGAGATGAACTAGAAATCTACATGCATAGCTTTTTATAGACCTTCTTACTTGTCACTAGTTTAATAGGTAGCTTAGAAAGGGAATTTTTATCAATTTAAAAATTTTAGGTTGAAAATTCAATTAGGTGTGCCCTTAAAATTTCCACAAAAAAAAAAACTTTGTAGAAATTATATTTGAGGATGTTTTAAGAAATTTTCAGTCAGTTTTCACCTTTTACATCTATGAATTATATTTAAGTGTCAACTTTGGGAAAGAAAAATAGACCCCATTAATGCTACTGTACATACCTTTTTATTTGATTTTAATTTCTTGGTATTATTTTGTGCTATACTACATAACATACTAAGAAAGGTTATATTGCCATATTAATCTTAAAATTACCTGATGAAAGAGACATACTGAGTTAATTTCCATGTTCATAAACTCTACAGAAGTTCCTCGGCTCCATGTCTTTCTTGTAGACCTGTCATTCACTGTGAGTTGTGGGATTTCTATCAGTGTGTCTACTGAAGCATGTCCAGTCAAGAGAATTTGTAGTGAAGGTCTAGCGCTGATCAGATGTAACAGGAAGCATCTGAACTCAATTTGTGTCATAGTCAGGGGTCCGCAAACTTAATTTAAAGAGCATGTGATTGAGAGTTTGATCCATTATTTCAAAAGTGTATTTAAATCAACCGAGTTATCATCAATCTCTAAGATAAAAGCAGCTTATCTAGAGTCCTTAACCATCTTCAAGAAACGACTAAAAACACATCTGTTCCAACTTTATTTGACCCTCTAACTCTAGCACTTTCTATTCTATTTTAATTCTACTTTATCTATATTTATCTTCTTTTTTTATTTTTTATTTTTTTATTTTAAAAAACAACAAAAAACAAACAAACACTAGCTTTCTATTTTTTCTATTCTATCTACCTGTTTTTCTTTGTGTGTGTGTGTGTATAAATGACTAAATAATAAATAATAAAATAATAATAAAAGACTAAATCTTTGAGTATTGAATTGTGTAGTTTAGCTTGTTGTCTTACAGTAAGTGATGTGTTCCTGGATTATAGTATGTCACTGCTTACAGGTTAGCAAACTTCACTTCCATGTTGTGTTATGTTTGTTTCTGAGGACATGATCTCTCTGAAGCATTGCCTTAATTTCAGAGTCCTACTGATGTATCTCACAGAAGCAGTTTCCATAGCGATTATGGATAAAAAGTCAGTCTATTTTAGGCTTGAGCGATTGGCCATTCATCGATAAGATTGATATATCACAGCTGGCTCCTGAAATGAGCTAAACTCCTGTGCTCGATTGTATCAGTGTGCTAGTCTCATTAGCATAGCTGGATATAAAGCCGAATGACTTTCAACAGTTCATTTGTCTGTGTAAATTAATAATAAATGAACTAACAACGCGTTTGATGCGTAAAATAAGCATATTTTATCTGAATAAGAGCACAGAATGCTGCACATGCAACAGATCAACAAAGAAATAAATACTTCAAAAGTGACATTGTTAAAAAAGAATTCTGTTTTCAAAGTTCTTTTGAACTTTGACTTTTCAAAGAATCCTGAAAAGTATCTCAGTTTTCGCAAAAATATTAAGCTGCACTACTGTTTTCAACATTGAAAATAATAAAATATTTTACTTTGCACCAAAATCAGCATATTAGAATGATTTCTGAAGGATTGTGTGACACTGAAGACTGAAATTCAGATTAGCCATCACAGGAATATAAAAAAAATTAAAATGACATTTTAAATATTATATTAAAATAGAAAAAAGTTATTTTACATAGTAAGACTAATTCACAATATTACAGTTTTTACTGTATTTTTGTTTAAATAATTGCAGCCTGAGTGGGCATACGATACTCAAACCGAAAAATAGCATAAAAAAATTCAAATTAAAAAACGACTAATTATAATGTTACCCATGCTTTTCGGCACCATTATTAAAAGTATCTCAGTTTTCGCAAAAATATTAAGCTGTACTACTGTTTTCAACATTGAAAATAATAAAATATTTTACTTTGCACCAAAATCAGCATATTAGAATGATTTCTGAAGGATTGTGTGACACTGAAGCCTGAAATTCAGATTAGCCATCACAGGAATATAAAAAAATTAAAATGACATTTTAAATATTATATTAAAATAGAAAAAAGTTATTTTACATAGTAATACTAATTCACAATATTACTGTTTTTACTGTATTTTTGTTTGAATAATTGCAGCCTGAGTGGGCATTTTCAACATTGAAAATAATAAAATATTTTACTTTGCACCAAAATCAGCATATTAGAATGATTTCTGAAGGATTGTGTGACACTGAAGCCTGAAATTCAGATTAGCCATCACAGGAATATAAAAAAATTAAAATGACATTTTAAATATTATATTAAAATAGAAAAAAGTTATTTTACATAGTAATACTAATTCACAATATTACTGTTTTTACTGTATTTTTGTTTAAATAATTGCAGCCTGAGTGGGCATACGATACTCAAACCGAAAAATAGCATAAAAAAATTCAAATTAAAAAACGACTAATTATAATGTTACCCATGCTTTTCGGCACCATTATTAAATTTGTATTAATTTTTGTGTAATAATAATAATATAAATAATTTAGTTTTAAATGGCCTTTTTTTGCTACTGTACTTTTTAAACTTTAAATCTCTAGATATATCTTTATTTCCTCATTAGTTCATGGTAATTTGGCAAACCAAGTTTCTAGACACAAACGTGATTCAATGGTTGTGATTTCATAACAAGCTGTTTTTAAAGCTCAAAAACTGGTCTTTTTGGATTTTAAAAGCTTTAGATATTTTTGGAAATGAAACTTTTCTTGTTT